GTAGACAAGAACGTTCATCGGCCTTAGAATAGATCTAGCATCTCCAAGAGGAGTGAGGAAGTTGACCGGCGCTTCCTTCTTTGACGGGATTCATGCTCTTTGGAGGATATCATACAAGACATCTTTGACTAAGTCGTGTCTGTACTTGAATCCCAGCTGCTTCTGACAGTGGATGGCATGCTCTCCAAAAGAATCCATCTGTGTTCTACGATAAACTAGGCGCACTGTCCCCTCCACGAACAAAGGAACCAACAACCTGTACCTAAGGATGGCCTGGAACTCCCTCGGAGTCATACGCTGCCCCAACCCCTCAATAGGCGTGGCCAACAAGAAATCCTGGGCGTGCTTTACCCGCAGACACTTAACAATCGCAACATGCCTCTCTGAAAGGTCAAACTCCGTCAATAGATCTCTACAAACGCCACCATAAAAGATGTCTACCAAGTAATGCATTGGTTTTGGAGGGACAGGCCCTTTAGTGGTGATTTGAAGAAGGTCAACCTCAGGTAGCTTGGCTTGAAGAAAGGCCCGGGCGGAAGTAAAATGCCCACCTAAAGAAACCTCACCACAACCTCTCAAAAATGTGGTCTTGGAGCTCGATGGAGTGAATTCGAGAGGCCATAAAAGAAAACTGTATGGCATCGGTCGCTGCATAGACGCCCAACCTGCCCGCCTTGATAGGTAAAGAGGTCAGCCTCCATTGGAGATCCCGAAACCTGGGCCTTCGGATGTGACAATGCTCTCGATTGACCTCCGAAGCGCAATATCAAACTGGGTTGCCGCCTGAGCAAAGAGTTGTGGCGGGAAAGTCCTCAAGGCGAAATACAACTTAGACAAACTCGCACAAGCCCTCAAAAGGACGAGCTCGCACTGTGGATCCCTAAGTTGGTCCAACGCTCCCATTAACTGAGTCGTTTTTGCCACCGTCTTCACTACTAACCCACCAACAAACCCCTCATTCATGTTAATAGCTCCACCTAAAAGCCTTACTCCATCACGAGGCCAACGATGTCCAAGGGAAAAAGCCCCTCCAGCAAACTCCTAGGATCCGGTGAGGGCCAGAATAATTTAGTTTTGGTGACATTGAGGCCCAATCCGAGCCTTGCGCCTTCAGTCTTGATCACCTTATATGCCTTAGAAATCTCCAAAGTATCCCCGACCAAGGACTCATCGTCCAAGTACCAAGCATGAAGAGCCAACTTGCACTCTTCCTACACTCGAAGAATCAACGGGTGAAGCGTGAGCGCGAACAATATAGGTCCTAACGGATCCCCCTGCTGGATCCCCCGAGCAAACCAAATGAAATCTACTCCGAAATACAGTCTAGCGGGCTGCACATATAGAAATTCCACCCAAAGAGAGATCGTCGAACACTTAAGGCGCACTTTCCGCAACATACTACTCCTGTCGACCAAGTTAAATGCATTCCGAAAGTCGACTAAAAGCATGGAGAGCGAGTCCTCCTCATGATGGACATCAACGAACCTATTAACGGCATGCAAAACTGATTCTGCCCTCCCGAGACTCCCACCCCAAACTAAAAATCTCCCAAATAACTCGCCATGTCCTTCCCCACCTTTTACATGACCACTTTAGAGACGAGACGCCTCCAAATGGTTACCGCAATCGGCCTTATGCCCCCATCACTCTTCAACAACGGAGTGAGGGGAGCACTAGCAATAAACTCTGCCAATGAGACCGGATAACGCTCTTGCAACCACTAATTAATCACTGGAGCTAGAGCTGTGAGAAGGTCGTTAGCAATAGTGAACTCCAGACCACAAAATGCATCTAACAAGTGTTGGGCTCGAAGGCCATCACGGCCACAAGAGGTCCCCTTAGGGAAGGACCGTACATTCTTTTGTTCTTTTTTTTTTTTTTGGGCGACTTATGTCCTGTAACTTTTGCCATCAAAGAACATTCGAATTTGAGCGTAGTACTGCTTTATATGCACATTCTCCTCGAGCGCACATAAAGAGATGTCGAGATATTTAGAATAATTCAGATCAATTCTACATATGATATGATTAATGATAGGGTATTTTGGGTTGACGCATATATGGCGAGTACCAGCTTGATCACACAAGTTAATATATGCTAGTCGGGTTGGAGTTAAATTAGAGGGTCAGATGAGAATTGTAATTTGTATTTCCAATAATCTGAATTGAAAAATTACTTGATATTCTCAAACATCAAATAATGTACTACTTCGGAAAACAAAACAACAAAAACACAACACAAAAAAAAAGTGAGAGAGAAGAAATAAATCAAATGGGTCCCAACCTTTATGAGATTAATTTGCTTAACTAAATAAAGGCGCGAATGAGCAAATAGTTGCTTCACAATTTTTTTTTTTAAGATTGTACTGTGGTATGTACTTCCTCGATACTTGAGATATATATATATATATATATATATATAGGAAAATAAACTCTAATTTGGAATTTGATGTCAAATTCCAGCTAGGAAATTCAGCTAGTCCGATAAAACCCAACCCCACATGAGAAAAACAAATTTCTTAACCATTTTATATTGCGTACTATATCACCACTTACCATTATTTTGATTGGGAGAAACTTTTCATATCTTTCGAGTCAAATGTAAGTTGTTATAGCTTTTGGCTTTTCAAAAGTGTTGGTTGTTATAGCTGCCATCATTTTCTCAAGTACTTTCTGACTAAACTTTCATTAATTAGTAATCTAGGGGTTTAAAACATTATTTAAGTGCGTGTTGATGTACCGTTTCTTATCTATTGTTTTTACTTTTAAAAAAAATCTAGCATTTTGATCATGCGAGTCACACTTTTAAAAATTTCCAAGATATTTGGCACCGAGGATTACACTTTAAAACTTACGAGAAGAACAAGTTTGGAAAAGAAAACTTAAAAAGAAAAACTCACATTCGAAACCCCTCGATGCATTCATTTGTAGTGCGAGCGCGCTGCGTGCATCTGCAGAATATTTTTGCTTCAAGAAAGACAGAAATTATTTATCACCTTTTTTTCTTTTCTTTTTTTTAGGTTGCCCCAAGCAAATAAGGTAAGCCTTTTGAGGATGTGTGCGATCGAGTGAAAGGATATCCCAACGGCCCACTTCTATCCGTCTTGGGGAGCCGAAGAAATCTACAAAGCCCACTTAGATAACGATATAAAAGGATCACACTAGTCATTGGCCCACCATCCGAGCTCATTCAGCCCAGTATAAAGGATACATTTGGGCGAGCTGCTAACTGTAGACCTAAACCAGCGCATGCATACTCGCATTTATATCGATACCCTATTAGACATAGATATTTAGTATTTATAGTTGCATTCTATAAGATACGAATACAGTTATATCTAGCGCGTGCATATTCACATCCTTTCATCCCTTAACTCCAACTATGGCACTGGAAAAAAAAAAGTCATATTCAGCCGTTAGTGAATAGCTACCTGCATGTCGATCTATAGAATTTTGATTATGATTTCCCCGTAAAAAACCTAATAACTTAATCAGAAGGGAGATATGACCCCAAAATTACAGGCGCCAAGGTCCGCTAATGAGACAATGGGGGATAAGCTTCATCGTCGAGAGGAAGGGGGGGAAAGAAAAAAGGCAACCACCATTGTAACGAGTTTTTAGGAGAAAGGAGGAGATCGAAGCAAAAGGAGGGGGAGGAGGAAGAAGAAATGGTTGAGGAGAAATTAACACTTAAGATATGTATCTATATACTTTTATAAACAAGTAACCATGTTGATATTTAGGGCCATGCAAAAAGTGCACATTGCTACTTGCGCCTTTATGCCATTATATTTTTGGGTGGCCACTGACCATTAGCACTTGCAGCCAGGGAACCTTCTCTTCTTCTCATTAGAATAATACAAATAAAGTGAAGAAAAAGAAAAAAGTTTATGTACCCTGCAATAACTTAAGCCATTCATGTGTCATCCTGGTGGGTGCATTTTTTGAGACATGTATCCCCACCAACACCCCCATAACAACAAAATAAAAGGGGAACTTCACAAAACCCCCTAATTTTTGGGGGTTGTTGCACATAACCGTTTTGAATTTCACATGACTATTCTGATACTTTGAGGTGTCTTCAAAACATCTTTCAACTTTAATTTTATCTCACCTGGCCCCTTTTCAGTGCAATTTGCAAATAAATAAAATATCTTGGATAATTTTTTTTTAAAAACTTCGTCTGTTATCATTTAAGAAATGTACTCTCTTTCCCCTAAAATTTAAATGTTTTCTTCTCCTAAGAAAAATTAGTTATTTTCAAATTAATGTAGGAGGGTCCAATGAGATCAAGTTTGAAATTATGTGGGAAAGAAGGGTTATGACTTATGAGACACCCCAAAATTAGGGAATTTTGTGAGAAAAATAAAGTTTAGAAAAATTATGTTTAATCCCCCCTAAAGATCAGAGGGGCCTTTTAAATTTTAGCCTAAAATAAAACCAAAAGCTAAAAAGAAAGGGTCTGTTGAGTACAACCACAACTACTTCATCCCGTTCGTTTTCGATACGTTTGGTTTCCTTACAGCTGATGCGGCGGAGTTCCTCAGGAGGGTACAGAAATTCATGAATAAGAATGTGACGACAGCAAAGTCCGCTGAGTACGTGTTTCGTAGGTTTGATTTTGCAATTCAGAAAGGATTAGCGGCGCAGTGTGTTGTTCGCTTGTCATTATCACATATACAATATTTTATTCTTAATAAATATACAATCCTTTATTTAAAAAAGAAAACAAAAAAAAACACCAAAAAGGGTGTAGAGGGACCAAACAAAACAAGATCTCTGTATCAGAAAAAGTTGGCAATTACAACCACACGTTTCTTTGAAGAGACAGTTTTGCTAACCTTCACTTTCTTTCCTCTATTTTAATGCAGTGGAGGTGGATTTGCCAGCAGAATGTGACATTTTCAACACATGAAGGGGACAGACAACATGAGAGTGAAAGAGACGGATGGATGATTATGAGGGAATTAATATGATTCATGTGATATCACAGACTGTCAAACGTCAGAAAGGGAAAAGTAAGAGCCGTTGCCCCCCATCCCTTAGAGTCTATAGTTTATCTTTATCCCCCTCTCTCATGTCATTGTCAAAAGGCAAAATCTCAATCACAGCAGCAGTAGCGTGATTGATTTGATGAAAGGGAAGGCTAGAGTGGTGGGCCATACCTCAGCTCAGGCATGAAGAAATCAACCTGCGTCTTTTTGCTCGGTTTATCTTTTTTTTTTATTTCTTTTTTTTTGGATTATGTACACCTGGCTGCTTTTGAATCTCGCAGCAGAACTGGCCACCTCGTCTTGTCTTGCTTAATTTAGACTACGTAATAAATATAGACTCTGAACCTGGACAAACTTTGTTGGCCCGGAGCTGCAACTTGAATGAATTAAACAAAACTTAAACAAAGTTGAAAGGCAAGTGCCTCATGAAGCGAGACTCGATATTTCCAAGTGACGCATCATATCATTTATCAACGGCATCAAGTTTTATTATTATTATTATTTTAATAGAAACCTTGACTAGGTGCCAGCCAAGTGAACCCCAGAATCTGAAACCTAATTTTCGTAATACATACCTAAATGAATAGCGCATGTAATACTTAATAATTAAAATTTTGAAATATGCACATCCTAGAAACGGATCAGTCCGTAAACATTTTGAGCGGAAAGCCCCAACATCAGCAATTTGAGCTTTCATTGTTCATGCAACTATAAGTTAATCGAACTATAAACATTATAATAGCCCCCAGAAAGCTCAAGAGCCGTATATTCATTCAATCCCTCAATAAGACAACAATTACACCATGACGAGAATACAATTACCTGATTCCACTTACAACAACAATCTACGTTGTTGTCTGATATCATTTCCCAGTATTGACATGAGTGATTTGCTCATTCGATGCATATTTGGCATGCAAACACATTGCAGGGCAACAGAAGGATGTCAAGCGTGCAAGACTACAAACCAATGGCAAGTCTAAGCTAGCGAGACGAGATACGACAATTCAGATAACAAAAATTCTGTAAAAATAACACTGTACAACATCTGGCAGAGCAGTTACAAAACTACAATCGAAACCAACAGCAAAAACTATTCAAGTTGGGAATGCAAACAATCACAGAATGAGAAAGAGAGAAATTGTCAGTTATAAGACAATCAAAACCACTAAAGTGCAAGAATGAAGATAGGGGAAACACATATGCTACATACTCGGACCACGAAAAATACAATCTCGTTTGTCGGGGCACTCCATGTATAATAAGAGGTGAGCTCGATGCCAGACGGAAGCATGTTTTTTTTTCCAGGGCAGTAAAGTTCCTAACTGAACACGCCAACCTAACTTATGTCGCAGATATGTGTGTCAACAGTCAATATCTATACAAAGGAACTACCCTACATTATCCATCCAACTACAAAATTAAGAATGTTCCCAAACATCTGGGCAAACTCACCAAACTTAATTACAATCCCATACCCGGGCGAAGTGCATAAAAAAGAACATGGGAGGATGATAATCCTTACCATCCTTTATCCTTGAGGCATGGAAAGCCTTCCACCAGTTTCTCGGTAGCAACACATACTGAAACTATGAAAATCATTTCAGGGGAGAGCATGATCTCAACATTTACAAGAATTACAGTAAAATTTGATTTCTTCTCGAGTTCCAAGCCATCCCCAAGGGAAACACCGTGAAGCATGCCATGTGTTGTTTGTATAAATTTAGTGACCAAGCATGAGAACTGACTCTACACCCGCCCTGTGCCTGTGCAGGGTGCAAAGTCATCAATATGCGCTATAGTGGAGGAAAAGTTGGGAAACTGGAATAACATTGGGTTAATTGCGGTTAAACCCCCTGTACTATCACCAAATTGAACCTAACTCTGTAGTTCTGTTGTTGCAGATAGACGCTCTGAAACAGTTATATTGTTGCAGACAATAGACCCCGTGAGTGAAAATCAATGGTTGCAAACAAAGCCCTAAAAAGGGACAAATTTTTCAATTAGGGAGTCTATCTACAACAATAGAACTACAGGGTAGTAACTTCAATTTGGCAATAGTACAGGGGTCACATTTACACAGCTACGATGAATATCAAGAAAGCATCTGAAACTCACCAGATACTGTCAAAGATGAACACATCCTTTTCTTGTATCACTACTGCCAAGAGGATTGCTTGTAAAGTCTTTCATCCCAAGAGCCTCCTTCTCGATCCTTCCTTTTGATGCCACCACCTGAAACCTGATGGTACATCCTAGCCTGCTCTTCTACAAATGCCTGGGAACTAAAAACAGGTAGCTGTCGTGATGATGATGAAGGTAGTCGCTCATCTTTCACATCTACATCCCCACCTCCCCCAGGACCTGCATTGAGATCGAGACCTTGCCTGCTCCATTTCCTAATGCTCTCTTGTCCAGCACTCGCACTTCCTTCTGGTAAATTTATCATGTATGGCCTTGCGTAATGAGAAGACACAGCAGCTGCTTGACCCACAAGCTGAGAAGGAATTGCAGGGTAGCAAGAAGCTGCACTAGGAGAATCAAAAGAGGTTGAAGTGAGAGGAAAACTAGAGCCGAAAGGGAATCCAGCAGGATAAGGAAATGATGTAGCATGCGAAAATGTCATGGCAGGGGATGATGAAAGCACTGGGCCTCTGTAAACATCACCGCCAAAAGTTCCACCGCCTGAAACTGAACCCAAAATCCTCTGGGATCCAGGAGCTGTGACAATAGGAAAAGTCTGCTCTCCTCTATCAGGCAAAAATGACGGTATTGCAACAGCAGGATAGGAGTTACCAGGAGGGAACCATGATGAAACATTTCCTATTTCTGTATTGCCCATTCTGAGGCCAGAAAATTGGGGCAAGAACGGCATATTATTACTATTTTTTGCATGTTGATTTTTTGGGAGAGTATCTGTACCCACTTCATCAACTCCTGGTCCATTATTGAGGTCAAAATCCCTAAACATATTCGCCTCGCCATTAGGGAATCCTCGAGAAATTGGTTTCATAGACATAATTGGCGTTTCCAATCTACTACTACTGCTAGCCAAGAACTGCCCATTATCTGTACTTTCATCGACTTTATTCAGGTCAAGATCTAGTCCTCCAGCGCTACGAGTAGGTGCATCACGATTACTAATGACCCCTGACTCAGAGCCGGTGGTCTGTGGAGAGCTCGGTGAGGCTAGGTCTTCAAGAACCCTCTCGTCAGCAACATTAAGATCAATTTCGAAAGCGGGGCGACTCTGCTTACCAGCAGAATCTGCTGACTTCACATCAGAAGTATTGAGTGGCATCTCAAGTACTTTTCGAGGTTCTGCCGGGCGAAATGCGCTAGTAGCAGCTGAACCTCTCCACCCAGGCTCTCCCTTACTCTTCAGCAAGTTTTCAGGTGGCACGAATGGACGTTTTGCAGGAGCAGCCACTGTGATCGTAGCTGGTGCAAAGGGAGATATAGCAGGCAAATGAACTGAGGGTGAAGAAACCGGCGCAGCAGAGATGACATGTTCGCTCTGGTTACCATCATCTCCAGAAAAGCCCTCATTTAAATCAAAATCAAGTTTGGCTCCATTGTCAGCGTCAGAAGTAACCAAAACTGATGATACATCAGCAGAAGTAGTTTTCTCCTTTTTATCCGGATCAGCCCCGGATAACTTAGAAGCAACAGATTTTGCACATTTATCAGATTCTTCTGTGGGAGCCTCCTTTCTTTCTAAAATCACACCAATCCCAGAAATGGTGTTTGGGGACACAGCAGCTGACCCAGCCTGCTCATTACTTCTAGAAGCAAGAGCAGTTTGCTCTTTCCTCGCACTATTAGCAGGTTTCAAGTTATCATCCTTAAATCCATCTGATTTTCTACTTGTGCACACATCAGCAGTTTCCAAACAAGAAAACTTATCAGTAGAGGACGGTTTAGCATCATTGCCATTTCTATCAGAAGTCAGGGAATGACTTTCTTCAATGGGAAGTTGCGGCTGATTAGCTAAGGTGGCATCACTAGGCACCTCATTGACTATAGGGCTGTCAGGTGAAGACTCCTCAGCTACCAACTTCTCAGGTTTTTCACCAGTCATGGGATTTTCACCCAAAGAGCTCCCAGCTAAATTGGAATGTTTTGCAGTGCTGTCTGCAATCTTCTCATGAGTGCAATCAACTTGCTTCTTATCATCCACTGCTGACTGATTGGCTCCCTTGCTCTCCACTGCTCCCTTCATATCTGCACAAGAATAGAGAAAAATAAAGATTTATTAGTTCTTTCTTCAGATTTTACCTCAGGTTTCATTGGATATTCTGCAGTTTTACGCAAATTGACACTGGAAACAGAGAGGTGTATACTATGCTCACTTTTCAATTTATTTTCCTGAATAAGGGAGACAATTTTTCTGTCACCTGATGGGCGCAAGCTTGTCTCCTGTAACTTCTCGCTAGAAAGCAGTGGAGCTACGTCCTTCCCCTGCTTTGTGGAGTCAAAATCTGCATTTTCATCAGAGTGGCCATCGTTCTGACCCCCACCATCTTCACATGAAAATCTTGACTTAACCTCGCTATGCTCCTCTTTAGGGGACCTTCTTGGAGATGCAGAGGGGGAAACCAAGTCTGATTTCGAGATTTCTCCAGCAGCAACATTTGCAAGCAGATTGATCCCTATATCATCCCCTGCTGAAAGAGCACTAGGCTCAGAGTACTTGGCACAGCTTTCTATCAAGGCATTCATGGAGCTGAATGAATCCCTTGATTTGGGTTCAGTTAAGAAAACCCCCTTCCCATTACCTGATGACGAACATGCAGGTCTCGGGGCATCTTGTCCCCTCTCTTCATCAAGAACAGTTGCCGGCGAACGCTCGCCCTCATCTGACCCAACCAGTGCTTCTTTTACATCATTGCTCTGCCAAGATTCTGCATTCACATCTGCTGATATATGAGACCGATATGCATCACCTTTAAGTTTTATTTTCCGGTCAGTTTGATCATGTTTATCAGAGGCACCAGGAGATGATGTTCTGCTACTTGGGATTGAAGGATCCTCAAGAGAACCTCCATTAGCACCTCGAGCAGGGCTACGGCCAGGATTAGGAAGCCTAACAATCAACCTGTGGCTGTTGCCATGATCTGCACCAGCCTCAGATGACAATCCAGACTGACTAGAGACTTTATCCATAGGTGCACTCCTGTTAACAGAGACAGCCTTAACCAAATTAGTTTCCTTCTGAACTCCAGAAACACCACTTGCCAACAATCCATTACTTGACCTTCGATTGCGAGAAGAACCACCAGAGGTCTTGTTAGCACTCATTGACCCTGCAGTAGAACTCCTAGCATCTTCTTTCCACGAAGAACTCATTCTCTTAGCATGGTCACTTGAGCAAGACTGACTATTGTTCTGGGACTGACTGGAACTGCTACTCTTCTCCTCTTTCACAGTTGCCAGTGGCAAATCTGAGTTTCCACTGCCACCAGCTCCTTTGCCTGGTGAATCCTTCAAGCTAATTGACACAGAAGCAGGCAAAGATGCTGATGACGACAATTTCAGAGATCCTTGTGCTACTGGCGTCGACTTCACAATAGCATCAGCATGACCAGGTTTACCAACTACAGTTCTACATGTGGATGTCTGAGTGCCAGGGGGCTTCGTAATTGTTTCAACCGACCCAGACCGCTTGCCTCCTCCATGAGAAACTTCAGAAAACCCTTGTTTCCCGGGCCATGTCATAGCTTGGTTAGATCCACCAGATTTTGCATCATTGATCTTTGTCATTTCTGCGTCAACACGTTTCATTTCTGCGTCAACACGTTTCTTCCAAGTGTCAACAAGGCTCCGTGCCTTCTTCTGGATTTCAAGGTTTTTATGAGTTCTCAAGTGATTCACCGACTTGCCAATGTTACAAGTCTGTAAAGCGTTAAGATTTACAGGTAACTTATCAAGTGCTCGAAGCAGAGCCAAGAGTAGCTCCTCGGTGCCTTTATCACTTTCCTTAGGACTACTCCCATCACCAGTTTTACCTTTGTGGGCCTCCTGAAGCCAATCATCCAAAACAGGCACACCCCTAAGCTGAACAAACCTACCGAGACATTCAATTCTATCAGTAGATGCAATCACATCTGCAAACAATATCCTACCAGACAAATCAATTTTTCTCTCATTTTTATCCAGTTGCATAAGATGCACGAGCTTGTCAACACCTTCTGTAGTTATTAGCGACCCTTTTTCTGCTATTTTTGCAATCTCAGCTTTTGCCATATTGTCGAGTCTAGAACTGGCAGATTCACCATCCTCCAGCTTAGTAGGACGTTCTCGCTTAATAGGTTCTGTTCCCTGATCACCCCCTCTCTCCCTCTTCTTTCCCTTAACCTGTGAAGGGAAGGAACTGCTACTATTCTGCAGACTCTCAGTATCTGATTTTAACTGCTGAGTTGATGTTGGACCATTCAATGGTTTTGGAGAACGATCTCCTGATTGCACTGCTGCATGCATTTCTACTCGTGTCTTGTCCAATAAATGATCTACTTCTTCCTGTCGCTCCTGAGAAATTAAAGGAGAGACAAGAAAACACTGTGTATTGTGAATATAATCTTAATAAAGCAACAGCTACTGCAACCACTCAAAAAAAAACTCACGTTGATATAATCCTGGTCTGTTAACCACCATAAACACTTGTTTGCAATGTCATACACTCGCCTACACACAAATGATGACAACCCTGGTGGAAGTTCAACACCCCTGCGGAGGAAAGCAACTTTACACGGATGAAGCAATGAAGCAGCGGATATCACGTCCTGGTGGAATGAATAAAAAACTTCGTTTGGTGCTGCTTCTAGTAGTATGCCTTTCACGAGCTTGATGTCAGCAGGTCGATAAAGCCAATTTACACATAATTTAAGACAATCCTCCTTGTCTGTTGTGAACCACCGTATGATTCCAATAAAAGGTGGGGCATTGCCAGCCTGAAAAAGTGCACAATCACCTATACAAATTTTGCGACCGTCCTGCAAAATAAGAATAATTTGAGAACACATGTAAGGTAATAATTATTTGCTCATGATGCAAAATAAATCCACACTTCAGGCAAGGGTAAAAACCATTAAATAATAGCAAAGGTGCCCGAGGTCAGGACTGACAAGGAATATTCTCCGCAAGCTAGAAGAAAGTCCTGACAATAAGCATAATTTTTACAAGGTCAACTTGTTATGCTCCAGACAGCATCTCATCGTCCCTCAATCTATATCTATAAATAAAACTCAATAAAGAATCGAATCTATTGTAAATTAAACACTGTAAACCAAAACATGAGTGTATTGTAGCTATAACTTCAGTAAAATTTGAAGGAAAAGCAGGTATATAACAAGAAAAACAACAGTACCAACAATTAGTAGACAAATAAATCAAATCCAGGTCACAAGACAGAGGCTAGACACAACAAATTAGTCTTTATGATTTTTTGGGGGGAAAACGTTATCAAGTAAAATATCTGCAGACACTCATTTAGGTGGAAAAAGAATCTAGCAGAAAAATTCATGATAAGGGAGTGGTCAATAAAACTCTTATCTCATAAGAAAGCGGATTCTCATATACAATCATTAACATGAAATGTGAAATTTGCTATGTATATAACTCATGATGAAAGAGGGGGCAACAAATCTCTTAATAAGAGTCCCCGGAGTCGGTGGAGATTTTTCCGATTAGTCAATCATACAATTTCCAGGGAACGTGCAAATGCATGCAAACAGAATTGAATGAAATTCATGACTCAAATGCATTAGTCCATAGTCTTTATTTCTCATGTGATACCAATAATAGCTTAAGATTTTAGAACAAAACCCATATGCAAAGCACAATAATTTTGTTAACAAATATAATTCTCTTCCACAACAACAATGGAATATCAATATTCTAGCCTCTTTCTCAAAGGAAAAATCTGATTAAACGAAAAGTACAAGTTTAAAATCAAGTAAATATGGGAAATGACAGTTTGGCCAACATCTGCAAAGTATATTTGATATTCAATGGAAACTACAACCACAAACAAAGTATTTGCCAATCAAATTCATTTCATCTCTGCAAATTACGTACTTCAACCATAAGCTGAAGTATATATATTGACTTCCAACAGTAAGCTCAATACAAAATCATTGCTCAGAACCCTTTTTGACAATTAAAGAGGCCTACCAAGGAAAAGAACCCAAAAATACCATACGAGAATCAACCAAATTCTTGTGAAACCAAATAGCCTTTAAAACTTTTAAATCTATCCAAGTTCCTAGCTCCAATAACTCAGAGCAAGCAAGAAAAATATAAAATTCCTAAATGTGCTTTAAAAAAGGGTGCGCTAGATGCGCTAACACAAAATCCAACAGCAGATAAAACCAAATACAGCATAAAAGTATAGTTACAGCAACAGCAGCAAAGAAAGTAATCTGACAAGAAGAATGTAATGATGTTAACACCTGCAGAACCTGTCCTGAAGCTCTAACCAAAGTTACCAAACTGCCAGTAAACTCATGCAAATTATATCTATAATTGCAACATATAACTAAATGAAAAAAGATAAAACAGAGTCGATGATATTTGGGAATAACAGCTCTATTGTACTTGCATCGGTAGAGATAATTCAGGCATCATTTGTGTAGAAGCATTGTGAACAGCAAGTTAAGTGAAAACAAGTAAAATTACTGAGCAGGAGGTTTGCCTTGCAAGTTTAACCTTTATTAATCCACACACTAATTAGTGAGAGGTTAAATATTTATCTCAAATTAGGAATTTCAAGCGCGAGAAAGGTGCTTCTACACCAAAAAAGCCCCACTTCTACAATTGCCCATGGAAAATTATCAGAACAAGTTTGATTGCAAATACACAATAAATTATTTATGCATCAAAAAACTAATTTGTTCTGAGAATGCACAACAAGAAGTGCTATGATGGTGAGTAAATACACGAGCAATTTAGTCAATCAATCTCACCTGCTAAAGTGGAAAGTAAAACAAAGAAAAAAGAAAAAAGATTTAGCATAGGAATTACTGGGGAGAGCCAAAGCATGTACAGAACAAATAAAATACAGTTCGTGCAGAGAACATTTTCAACAGTAAAAGAAATACAAAAGTAAACACAATTGGATTTGTTGCTTTCCTAAAGCAAAACTTGGATACTTCTGACCAACATCCTCCTAATCTGAAATAAAGGCAAGACTCGTCAAGGTTTTACCATGACCAAAAAAATAAGCTTGACTAACACCACACTGACAAGCATATATCACTTAACATAAAATGTCATCTATTAAAATTTAAAGAGGTATAAATCTGTTAATATTAATTATAGGAGAAAATCGCATTACAGTAATGCACAAAATGGAAGTTTATGAATGAATTGGACTCATACAATTATCCATTTATTTTTATTTTCACCGATTTGCCATCATGTATTTAGTTCCATCAGTAACAACCGTAATATTCTTCTAATGGCACTGATGGAATCACAAAAATGATAAGGTAAAGATGTCTGTGCACACATCAAGAGCATGGTATTTGTCCTATAGTCGTCGCAGAATGTGTATATTTACACTTTTCCTTTTGATAACAACCATCCAATTTAATTCATAAAATGGAAAGTCAGTAATGATGGGAGAGGTGATGCAAAGAACATAACAACCACCTGATTCATGGAGGAAAAAAGGAACCCACAAACAAGAATCAGATAAAAAAGAACAGAAAACAAATCAAATTGTAAACAAATCACAAAAATCCAAGCACCTTTCAATCTGTCAAGCAGGAACACTAAAGAAAACAGTTCAAAAGCTCCGATAGACACTTGCAGAACTTAAGAATTCAACATAAAATCTAATCGCCAAATAAAAAACAGACTAAAGAATTTCCTAATGCCTAGTTCACCAATCAATTATCAAACAAATTACTCAAGCGCCTAATCTTTCCTAGTTAGCCTTTCAAAAAACAACTGCACGTCCATCCAATAGTCTAATCTAATCCAAGCCTGCAAATCTCCAGGTAAAAACTGATCGATCTTTTAAGGAACCAACAAAATTCAAACAGAAACAACAGAAACACCAATCCCTTGCTCAAACCAATCTTTTCCCTAATCTGCCTCCATCTTAAATCTAATTTCAGTCCAATCCAGTTCATTCAAAGAACCAACCTTACAGCCTACTCAAACATCAAAGAACCCTGACGAGATCATCAAACACCAATACAGACATATCGTAAACCTTCCATTATCAATCGGTCAATCTTTCAGCAAAACCAACAAAATTCAAACATAAACACAACAAAATCGCAGAAAAACATCAATCACTAACTCAACCCAAATTTTTCTCTAGTGGACTTCCATCTTAAAATCTAACTAACCCAATCTAGTCCGGTCAAAGAACCGACCTTAATCCAACAAAGGAACCACCTTTTACAAAAAAAAAATAACATCTTCCCAAAACTGAGAGCCCTAAATCGAATGAATCCAACGAAAGAAGGCGTCTTTACCTTGAGAAAAGAATCGACAGAGCTCTTGATCCACAAATCAGCCGGGGTCGACGACGACGACGATACTACTACTGGTGGTGCCGGAGCAGGGACACGCCACATGTGCCGCCTCCGTCGTTTCCAATCCTCACTTTCCCTTCCATGCATATCCCTTCATCGTCTTCCCTCCTTTTTAGAACCATCAATTCCAGCTATTTCCCCCAAACTAGAAACCCTAGAATCAAAATCGGCGCTGAAATAGCATCAGCTGGTGCACCTCGCAAAACCCTAGATCCAACCGGCGATAGTCACCTCAAAACCCTAATTTCAACCCCCGAGGGATTGGGATCGGACCGAAGGCGGCGGATTCGGAGGATCCGGTAAGAGAGGGGAAAGGGCAAGGGAGAGGAGAGGGAAATTGGCGGCGAAATCGAGGGAATTTGAGAGAGATTTGAGTCGAGAATTTCGCGATCTGAGACCGAGAGAAAAGAGGGGAGAAAGCGAGGAGAGAGAAAATGCGACGGCAAGGGGAGGAAGGGGGTGTACTTGGTAGAGAGAGAGAGGGGGGAACGGGCAGCTCGGGCAGCGCACGGGCAGGAGAGAGAAACTTAGCGGAGGGGTTTTTGTACTGATTTTGTAGCTGGGGCGAGTGCTAACGTTCGCGGGTGGTGGAAAGGTTGAGTTTAGGGGAGGTCTGGCCCGTCTGGGTTTGACCCCGTGCTGCGGTGGAGCGACGAAATCGGTGCCGTCCAACCTTGCGCAGTTGCGCTTGCGTCCAAGCTGACGCAAGTCGCCAGCGTGTGTGCTAATTTGGGCACGAGTTATCGTTTTTGGAATTTTTTTTTTATATTAAGTATTGCTAGGATAAATTTTCAAGAATGTCTAGGCTTTGCAAGAATTATTTTAAGTAGTAGGCAACATTCGGTCCGGATACGGCTAGGATTTGATACTTATCATGTCCGGATATGATACTTACCGTGTATATTATATATATATATATATATTTATATATATAGAGAGAGAGAGAGAGAGAGAGAGAAAAAATGGGTATGCTTGGTACCAGCCACAATTTTGTGCTTGGTAGTGATGCTGTCACATCCTCATCCACTCACCACCATCGTGAATGTGGTCTCATATTGAATGAGTGGAGAGGGAGACACATCACTACCAAACACAACTTTTTGTGCTTGGTACCAAGCATACCATATGCTCATATATAATATATATATATATATTATAATATATATATATAATATATATATATATATATATATAGAGAGAGAGAGAGAGAGAGAGAAATATGGGTATGCTTGGTACAAGCACAAATTTTGTTTTGTAGTGATGTGTCATATCCTCATCCACTCAGCTAACATTTGAATTGTTCCCATATTGAATGATGGAGGAGGATTTGACACCTCACTACCAATGCACCAATTTTGTGTGTTGCCACCAAGGCATCACCCATTTCTCATATATATATATTATATAATATATACTTATATATATACATATATATATATATCTTAACCATCACGGATACGATACGCTCACGGATATGACTCGATAAGGAAAATTCATATCTATATCCGCTAACATTAGATACGGATACGGATATACATGCGGATATATAAGCGCAAGCATGCGAAAGAAACATATATGATAAAATTAGATAATATTAAAAAAAATATAGGCTATGTGGACAAAAGTAGTTCTTCAATTTGTTTGCTATATCTGAAAAGCTAAGATTAGGCATCTTGATCATCAAAATTAAAACATAATCTAAAGAATAAAACTATTTGTAACAATATGGCCATATGTATCCAGATATTTCGAATATGGATCTGGATATTTCGGATACGGATCCGGATATTTCACTAAAAAACATATATGTAACCATATCATATCAGTTATATATTTGAGTAACCATATTCGTATCCTAACGGATACGGTTACAGATATTTTCTCAGATGCAAATACGGTTTACCACCCCTAGTAAGCGGCCATCTAGCTTCAGTTGCACATAACATCTCTCAGCTCGTTAATTAGCAATTATTGTTATGAAAAGCCTAGGTGTTTACTTAAATAGTGATGTGGTGTTACATTAAATCCTTATTCTTAATAAAAGAATTCGCTCTTCAAGCTCAGATGTTCTTTGAAATCTATGTTAATCCAGAGAAAATTTCAGTCTTTAATTTATTAATTTAACAATACTAGTTACGTTCAAAAATGAATGAAGCGAACGAACAACTATTAATTCTGCTATGTTAGAAATTGCTCTATATTTTTTAAAATTCGCTATAAATTTGTGGCTATAAGGATTTGAATTTAGATTACGCTAATGTTATTTTAAATCATTATCACAATGTTGAAACTAAGAATTATGATGAATATTAAGAATTATAGTTTTATATTATATCACACAAAGTATGAATATACAATATAGCTCAACTATTGACATTCTCGGGGGGAAAAAAGGAAGAGAGAGAGATCACATCACACCAATAACGAGGGGTGATAAACCGTATTCGTGTCTGAGGAAATATCTGTAACCGTATCCGTTAGGATACAGCTATGGTTACTCAAATCTGTTGGAGATTATGGTTAAATCTGGAATAAAACGGTAAAAGTTGATGTGCTATAATTTTAAACTTTTTCAATTCATTGCCGTGCGTTTATGAAACACTGTGCTTAAAGCAATATTTGACCTATTCCAGTACAAGGATCCCAAGGCCAAATTGCTTCCAAGAACAGCAGTATAGTACTCTCGTGTGCACCAAGCCAGTACTATCAAGATCTCCTCATTCTAAGGAAAAGATCTCCTCGATCTCAGAACATTTCGGTTCAAAACCTTTCAGTTTCAGGGCAAGTTCATTCGGGCACAGTTTCTACAGCAGCAGCACAACAGCAGCAACAACGTCAAGATCTCCTCGATCTGACGTTCGTATTCCAAGTTCTCTAGCAAACTACAAGAGTTGTCCAAGGGGCGCTATTTATAAGCCTCTAAGACCAGCTCAAGAGTCACCCTCAATTAATGTGACTATTACAATTCACAATGGTAATTATAATTGTAACATCAATGCATTAAATTGCTCTAAATGCCATTATAACTGTTGCATGCAGTAACTCCTGAATACGACGCAATTAATGGACGCGTTACTACGAAACGCGAGGGCCACGTCTTAGTAAATCAGACGAACATCGTCTGTAGGATGAACCTTATCTAAAGGGCGAACCTCGTCGAACGGGCCAACCTCGTCAAACATGCGAACCTCGTTTGATGAGTGAACCTCGTCGAACGAGCGAACCTCAGCAAACAGGTGAACCTCATTTGACGAGCGAACCTCGTCCGATCTTGAGAACATTAGGGTCACAACCTCGTCTGATCTTGAGAACATTAGGGTCATACCCTCGTACATTAGGGTCATGTTCAGGGGTCTATTACAGCAGATAGACCGAGGAGGGTGATTCATCGGCCAGCTAGGTATAATGATGTCATGGTTGCATATGCATTATCAGTGGAGGTCGTTGATGATATGATTTCATCCACATTCAGGGAGGCAGATTCTAACCCCGATTCGATTAGGTGGAGGGAAGATATGGAGGAGGAGATGCAGTCTATTCAGAAGAACGACACTTGGACACTTGCACATCTACCTAAGGATAAGAGAGTTATAGGTTGCAAGTGGGTATATGCGAAGAAAGAGTGATCTTCTATTGGGGACATTCGATTCAAAGCTAGATTGGTTGCCAAGGGATATGCACAGCTTAAGGGTATTGATTACAACGAGGTATTTTTACCCGTTGTGAAGCATTCGTTAATACGGATTTTATTGGCGTTAGTGACGCAGTTGAATTTGAATTTGGTTCAGATGGATGTGAAGACAGCCTTTCTATACGGAGATTTAGATGGGGAGATCTACATGACATAACCCTTGGGATTCAAAGCTGTAGAAAAGGAAGATTTGGTTTGCAAATTAAAGAAGTCTCTTTATGGTTTGAAGCAATCGCCGAGACAGTGGTATAAGGAGATTCGACAGCTTTATGATTAGCTATGGGTACACGATGAGCCCATATGATCCATGTGTTTATATGCACAAGCTACAGGATGGTGAGCACATATATTTACTTTTATATGTTAACGATATGCTTATTGCTTCCAAGAATTCTTTGGCTATTCGAAAGTTGAAGGAGGAGCTGTCATCCGAATTCGAGATGAATGATCTTGGAGAGGCAAAGAAGATATTTGGTATGGAGATCGAGAGAGATGGGGTGAAGGGGAGTTTGAAGCTTACATAGAAGAGCTATTTGCAGAAGATGTTAAAGAAATTCAGCTTTGATGGAAATGCAAAAACAGTTAGTACTCCATTGGCTCCCCACTTCAAGCTTTCAGCGTTGATGTCGTCTGTTTCAGTTGAGGACAGAGATTACATGTCGAATGTCCCATATGTCAGTGCAGTAGATAGCTTGATGTATGTGATGGTGTGTACGAGGCCAGATTTATCACAGGCCGTGAGCATGGTATCGAGATACATGCACGACCCCGGGAAGGGTCATTGGGATGTCGTGAAGTGGATTCTAAGGTATGTTCGAGGCACCATGGATGTTGGTTTGGTATTCCAGAAGGATGAGAAGAATGGGCAGGATTGTATTGGTTACATAGATTCAGATTATACTGGAGATCTTGACAAATGCCGGTCCATTTCAGGTTATGCTTTTACATTGGCAGGTGCACCTGTATGTTGGTGATGTACACTTCAGTCCACAGCGGCTCTCTCTACTACAAAGGCGGAGTACATGGCAGTGACTGAAGCTGTGAAGGAGGTTTTGTGGTTGCGTGGATTATTGGAGGACTTGGGGATTGCACAGGAGACCATTCGAGTATATTATGATAGCATGTCAGCTATCTATTTGGCGAAGAACCAGGTTTATCATACGCGCACGAAGCACATCGATGTCAGATTCCACTTTGTTCGTGACATTTTGGATGATGAAGACGTCATATTGGAGAAGGTCCACACGAACGACAACCCTGCAGATATGTTGACCAAAGTTATTTCAGGAGTGAAATTTGGTCATTGTTTGAAGCTTTTGAACATTCTTCAGTGTTGAGGCCTTTGGAGGCCATTTGGGTGAACTACGTTCGGCTTGATTTCTTGAGCAAGAGGATACGTAGGTAGTCTTTCAGATGCGGCCGGTTTGATCTGTTGATTCAGATGGGGGGTGATCGCGTTTCAGCTTTAGTTTGGTTCCCGGACTTATTGCGGGATTTTTGGATGATTTGGTGTCAGCTCAGTTTTGGTAGAAACATTCGCCGAGGTGGAGAATTAAAGAATTAGCAAACAGCTGAAGAAAACAACCCAGAAATTCAGCCAGCCTGACTGGCGATCGACCGCGAGTCAGCGGTGGTCGACCGCGAATGTGCACAAGGGACATGAAGAGTTGGGAGCGTAGGATTTTTGGGCTCTGTCGTTTGGTTCGATCGACCGCCGCGGTCGACCGTGAGTTTCCTGTAGCCGATTTGTTCTCTGTCGGGAGTGTTCGGTCAACCACGATACCTGACGGTCGACCGTCGCGGTCGACCATAGGCT